CATGACCCTCTAAGCTGACTCCCCTTCTCTCCCCGAGGCTGTAGGGATCTCCTGTCCCGAGACAGGGGCCTCAGATGCTGTTCCAGTAGATCTTCATCTACTCCTACAAGAGCTGCAATGTCAGAGACAGAAAGCTTAGCAAAAGCATGTAGTTATGAAGACACCAGCAGAGAGGTCCACAGCACCTAGTCCATTGGCCTAAAGTGTGGTCAGTTTAGGGTACAGCATACCTTGTGGGATTTAATTCTGTAGTCAAATGTACAAACCAGTCCTCTAAAAGAGCAGAGAGAGAGAGATGGCTCCTCCACTCTGAGGATTCAGGCCACTACTGATATTCCTCCCGGCCAGGCACAGTGTCTGTGTATTCTCTCTCTCTCTGTCTCTCTCTTTTAAAGCAGATTCAACAAGCTATGCCGCAGGGTATATTTGCTGAGCTATGGCTGAGGAATCTCCAACAAGAATCATGAGGCACAACAACTTCAAGCCCCGCTTGGCATTGCTCTTATATCCTGGAAGGACCTAAAGATCCTTTGTGGGGGCTAGGACTTGGCTGTCCGTTATTATCAAGGCTTTACAGCACGGTACTGGGGTCGTTGAAAATGTGTTTTGTTGTACTTGGCTTTCCAAGCCCAGATCTGAGAAGCTACCTAGTGCTCTGTTAGACCTTCATGTGGGTCAGAGGGCTATGGCAGCAGCCACTGCCAGTTCCTTCCCAGCTGACCTGAAAACTTTTTCTGTGGATTTGATTCCAAACCTCTCCCTACCTCCTAATCACATTTTTATCCTCATTTTGCTTAGTGTACTCACTGTAATTCTCCTTTTATCCCTGCATAGGCACTCTCAGTAGCCTCAAGGCTACAATTGCGGTTAGATCATGTTGCTCATTCACGTAGCCTCTTAGGATACTCTTCTGGATTAGAATCCTAGATTCATTTCACATTCTGATTTTGCATCATTTTCACCCACTTGCTCCCTGACTGATATCTTGATGGAGAAAGTAGATCAGACACTCAAGTAGTGTGCTTTCTGGAAACCTAGTAGCGTTACTGAAGTTCCTCCATGACGAATTTAGTTGCAAATCTTGGCCTCCTACTGCAGATATTTTGATAGACTATGACCTGTAGTCCGAAGGGAATATACTTCCAGATAGTCCTACTGTTTTATATCCTAAATCAGGAGAAAAGTTTTCCAGCCACCTATAGCTATCCTCCAGCCCAAAGTGTCAGCCACCACACCTCCAAGAAACGAGAGAAAGCTCAAAGCTCCACTCTATGTTGCAGTGACTGACCACTAACATAGTTCTCCAGTGTCCTCTGGCCTGAGCCAGAACATTCTCTGGTAAGGTCATTAATGGCCACTTCCCAGCCTATAGTAAAACTCCCATTCTTGACAATGGATGCTTTCCCTACTTAGCTTATGTGCTTATTTCACTCTGTTTGCCTTAAGCCCGATGGCCTGTGTCAGCTCTTTCTGACATGGATTCAAGTGGCATAGCACTTGAATAGTTAATTGCACTTGCTTGTTCAACACTGTAAGTTTGGTGGGAACAAGGGCTCTGTCTCCCGCATTGTATCTTCCAGTTTTAAAACCATGCCTAGCACTCAGTGGACACTCAGATATTTGCTGAATAGGTGAATGCGGGTATGTAAATAGGAGCTGTGCCCTGTTTGCCCTTCCTTGCCTAATCCCTGATTTTGTCCCCCTGTCCTGCACTATCTCCAGTCTCTTCTAACCAGCCTTGCTTCCCGTGTCACTTCTGAACAACATGATAGTTTTGCCCAAACAGACTAACACAATTTTTATTTACCTGACTGCAAAGAATTGGAGGTAAAATAATCATTGCTCTATCCTCTCATTTTACTGAAGGCCCAGAGAGGTCAATTGAGTTGCTCAGAAGCATAGAGCGAGTCTATATGCCTACATGATTGCTACACCTGTCCTGTGCCTTGACAGATTTACATCTTTGGTTAGATGTGGCCGGTCAATATTATCCAGAAGTCTCTTTCAAGTCTTTCCCATGCCCAGGTTTCTTAAGCACCAGAAGCCAGTCTAATAGTATTTCTCAGTTCTTGGAGAGTAATCATGTGTCCCTGTCTCTGCCCCAGCCCCCATCACTTTATTTTCTGATAATGTAGTTACACTCAGTACAGGCAGCTGTTTCTCCCAAGTTATCCCTTCTTATTCTCAAGTAAAATTTATTTCCCAAGCCACTGGGAAGGAGCTTTCAGACTTCTGCATCTAGCTATCCAGTGCCTAAGACTTTTGCCCCAAGTTTTAATTTCCTTCCCATGCTAAAGGTCCTGGTTTGGCCTTGTCTTTTTCAAGAACAGTGGCTAGTCCTTGACTGAAGTAACCTGTCAGTCAACCAGTCTTTGACAGTTGCTGTAGCACAAAAGATTAGATAACTTGGAAAACACTATAATCCCAAACAAATAGTAATAAGGTCCTAACTAGTTTATTGGACTGAGAGTGGTAAAGAAATGAACATAAGGTGTACAGTGCAAAATCACTTGATTGGGTATTCAGGAAGAGATGGAGTCAAAAGTAACACAAATATAGTGCCTGGGTGACTGGGAGAATAATAACAGTATCAGAGCGACAGACAGACAGATGTAGGGAAAGGGCAGGCTTAGGGAGGGAAGATAAACTCAGTATGGGACATAATGAGTTAGACGTTCCACCAAACATTGTGGAACTTACGTTTGTGTTTAGCAGGCAGTTGGAAATATGAAGCTAGAGGTCAGGAAAGAGAATTACCCATATCAAGCTGATTTTGATGTCACAACAGTGTCATTTAAGTAGAGTAAGGATGAACAGAGCTTTGGGACACATGTCCATTTAAGGAGGGGAAGGGGTGAGAGGTCTGTAGCTTAAAGAGGTTAATGTTTGGGCACTTACGTCTTTTAAATAGGAGTGGGAGTGGGAGGTGGGGCAGGCTGAGGAAGAGGATCCAGTGGCGTGGGGCAGAGTAAAGATGCAAGAAAGAGGGGTGGGGGAGGGGGCAGGGATTTGAGCTGTAAGTACCCAGCTTCAACAATACGGGAGTGAAGAAGAGAGGTATGGAGACACGTTAATGAGAAGGGGGAAGTTGAGGCAACTTGTGTCCCAGAAAGAAAGCAATGTCCCTGCAAAAATGAGGTGAGCTCAGAGGGACTGAGGGTGTGAGGGAGGTAGGAAGCATTAGAGGTAGGAGGTAAACATCCTAAGGAGTGTGGGAGTCTCCTGCAGGGGAGTGCAAGGCTGGCGGGCCCTCAGTGAGGACTCCACTGAGGGGGGATGGCGTACCCTGAGAGACCAGGCAGCCGGGTTTGGTGGTTTTTCTACTGTAATACCGGCAGTTTGGGATCTGAAGCAGGAATGAGTTGTGGGAGGACAGTGGAAAGGAATCTAATATGTGGAGTATCTGAGCAGGGCATCCAGGTGAGAAAGAAAGGCATATGAGGGTCCGATAGATAGGCAGACGTTCCGGGGCTGGAAGTGACAATGAGGACAGAGGGTGGATGTGCATAAAGGTAACGGTGAGATTAGGTTTGGTCTGGAGTGAGAAATAGATCAATATGTAAGTTTTCTTCAGCCACCTCGGAACCTGCAAATCACTATGTTTTTAAAAAATGACCATTCCTCCTGCCCTACAACTGCAGTGTGGTTCTCTGTTCCTAATAGTTGGTAATCTTCTCTCAGGCACTGTTCATTTCAACTCTGTTTTCTTCTCTTCCCATTCGGCTTGAACATCCTGAGATTTCTCACCCTCTCCTGTTCTGAGGTCAGCCTGTAACTCCTCTCATTTTAGTCTAGGGCAGTGACCCTCAACCTTGCCTGCACACTGGACTCTAACTGAGGAGCTTTTTAAAAAACTACAGGTGCCTAGGCCCCGCCACAGAGAATCTGATTTAATTGGCCTGGGACTTTGTTAAACTCCACAGGTGATCTTCCTACATGTTCCCCCAGCCAGGTGTTCTCCCAGGTGAAAGTAATGACTCCCATTAATGTGTTGCCCACACTGGGAACTACCTGATGAGCACAGGACTACTCTAACCAGGGCAGTGTTACAAGCATAGCTGAGCATAAGGACTCCAGAGTCAGATGCCTGGATTCCTGTCTCAGCTCCGTGATCCTAAGCAAACTCTGGATTATCTAGAATCTTCAATTTCCTAATGTGCTGATGAGGAATAATAATGCCTACAAAAGGCTTAAGTCACATAATGTAACATGCTTATTAGCACAATGCCTGGCACACAGAAGTACTCAACAAATAATAGTTGTTTTTGTTAATATTTGTGTTTTGATAGCATTAGCATTTTTTCTTAATATGCTATATTTCCGTAGGACCACACAAATTAAACTTAATTTCTTCCACACACTATTTTGTATCTATGCATTGTTTAATGAAGGAAAATCGTAGGCTATCTTGTTTTTAAATTTCAAAAAAATAATAAAGCTTCATGATTGTAACGATTACATGTAGCAGGACTTGGTGCTACAGTGAAAGTTGGCAAGGATTACTTTTCTAAATATTTAGCTTAATTTCCACTTGCTTGGGAGGAAAGTAGCCACAGGGTGGCTCTGTCAGAAACCCACAGATTTCTTTTCATAAGGGCTGAGTGTGGACCATGATTTTTCAAGAAACTCACTCTGGCAGGAGAAACTCTGGCAGGAACCTGCCCAATGGTAGTTCAGTCGTATCTTGCTTTTTCTCAATACTGTTTATGCAACACCTCTGCAATATTTATCACATGTAATTATTGTTTTAAGTGTCTTTAAAAATAAATGAAGAAACATAATCTGCCCATAAGCCTGTCATTCAGTCTGGCAGGTCCTTGGTGCGGTAGCCCTACCTTTCTGATGAGCTGCCTGCCCCCACTGCAGAATGGTTGTTCCAGAGGCAAAAACTCTTGCTGAAAACATTAACTTAAAATGGACATTAACATACTTGCATTTACAAGCAGTGAAGTTTGTCATCTTCGTGTTGTTATTTATGCAGCATTAACCTTTTTCTCCAGATCATTGAGACTGAAAATATGATGGACCGAATTGTGACTGGCTTGTCTGAGTCTAGTGTCAAGGTGCGGTTAGCTGCCGTCAGGTATGAGCTTTAAATGGCCTGAATAAAAATCCTTTGCCGTGTGTTTAACCTGTTTCCTTTCCGGACCTTCACCGAGTAAGCACAGAATCCAAATGTTACTTGAAAGTATTCTCAGGTGAATTCATACAGTGCGTAACACTATTTAACAGAGAAGCTAGCCTGAAAAGCCTGTGAAGTCCTGAAGTAGTTGAATTAACGATGTCTGTAGATAAACTTGAAGTGTATATTAGTAATTGTGCAATGCCAAGCAGTGTGTTTGAAAAGTAAAAGTTTCGGCTTCTTGTGAAGCTAATTTTGATTATTCTTTGTAGATGTTTGCACAGTTTATCTAGATCTGTGCAGCAGCTTCGAACCAGTTTCCAGGATCACGCCGTGTGGAAACCTTTAATGAAGGTAAGAAGAAAGCAGCAAGTCCACACCTATTCCCACCGAGCCTTTAGTGTGCGAGGTAGCTGACAGCACTCTCTGGTCTAGGAGTGTGTCTGATTTTTATGTTAAAGCGTTTTGAACATTTATCTCCTCAGATGTGATGTTTTAAGCCTCTTTAGAACGTGCAGAATGTATTTCTGAGGTCAGCATCTCGTGTGTGACAGGGGAAGTACATGCCTGGCTTTCTTTCATCAAATGAAACTCTAGTTACTCATCTGATCTCCCTGTGTGTCTCGTATTACACTTTAGACTTATATCCAGAGTCATCTTTGTAATTTTTAGTTATAAAAAAGAAAGGAATCAGCCATTTACAGATATAACCTGCTCTTAGTCTTTTGGCAATCCCTGGATATTTTTTAAAACAATTATTACTTCTTGTCTCTCTATTCCAGAATGACTTCTTTGTTAAGACCTAAAGGTCTTTCCTTGAGGGCCAAAAAAAAAAAAGAAAAAGGTGGTTTAGGTCAAATAATTATCTGAATTGAGACTTAGAATATGCACAGGTTGCTACTAATAATGTTATCCCTGATACAGTATAGAACCACGGGTCAACTTAGTCTCACCACCTTTTTTTCTTTTTTTTAAGTAACTATACACCTTGCATTTAATCAACAGATTTATTTGTTTAAGCTTTTGGTTTTTTGTTTTGCTTTTTAGTATCTACTGTGAAAGCCTCTGGGCACAGTAAGTCTACCAAAACTTTTTACTGCAGAGCTCTTGCCCCCAGCTTAAAGCCTCAGGTTATAATAGAGGCATAAGTATGGTAGAAATAGTTGGGGGAGGCTTCAGGCAGGAAGATTACAAAGTAGCTTTGAATGCAAAAGGAAGCCAGGAGGATTTTCCAGAGAGGAGTAGCGTGAACAGAAACATTACGCTCTCCTTAGTAAAGGGATTTTACTGTTGCCACTCTTGCTTGTTCTTAGATTGCACCTTTTTCATAGCAGCTTAATCTTGATTTATTGATTCTGTCCATTCAAAACAATTTTCTTAAACATATCACTTTAACTTTTTTTTTTTTTTGGCTGCGTTGGGTCTCCGTTGCTGTGTGGGGGCTTTCTCTAGTTGCAGCGAGCGGGGGCTACTCTTTGTTGCGGTGCACAGGCTTCTCACTGCGGTGGCTTCTCTTGTTGCGGAGCACGGGCTCTAGGCGCGTGGGCTTTAGCAGTTGTGGCACGTGGGCTCCAGTAGTTGTGGCACGTGGGCTCAGTAGTTGTGGTTTGCGGGCTCTAGAGCACAGGCTGAGTAGTTGTGGCGTGCGGGCTTAGTTGCTCCGCGACATGTGGGATCTTCCCGGACCAGAGCTTGAACCCGTGTGCCCTGCATTGGCAGGCGGATTCTTAACCACCGTGCCACCAGGGAAGTCCCCATTCAAGATTTTTAAAAGTGCTCTCCTGTTTCCCAAAATAACTGCCAAATATTTTCTCTGGAGCCATTTTCTCTGATTGCTCAGCTTGGTACCCCTCTCTCATATGAATCAGAAAGAAGCAACATATGGTTTTTGACTAGTTCTACCTGCACAAAGGTCTGGTGAGCAGTCTAAAAGGATTTTGAGCACTTGGTTACGTGTGGGTATAATTACTATCAAACTACTACTATGTTGCACATTTAAAGTATAGTATTAAAAGCCTGGAAGTAAATGAGTGATTTATTTCAGATACTTTTAGGTGTCTCTTAGTTCAGAGGCTGTTTGCATGTCTATTGATTCTTTTTCCCCTTTGCTTTTCCATGTTTTTAAATGTTGGTTAGCAAACCACAAGAGAGCAGACATTTGATTTTAGCTAAAACTTTTATTTGTGATTATTTTTTGTTCTTATTTTGGTGAAATTCTGTTTGGTCAGTGTTAGATGTCAACTTCTGAATTTCACATGTTATATCTTATACTGTAGTGAGTAAATGCTTTTAAGAATTTCATAGAATCTTTTCTGTTTTAATTTATTATGTAATTTGAAAATGAAACTTACAAAAGCAGATTAAGCTCTAAAACAGTAAATAATACTTTAAAAAGTGAATCATGTCAAGCAAAGCAACTTTTTAAAACAAGTAATAGCCATTTATTAATGTTTCTTTTAAAAGTTACACATTTTTAAAGTCATTTTTTTCTTCTTAACAAAACACAGAATGCCCCTCCCCAAAAAATACCCTGCTCTGAATTCATATGATTGCAAATTCCCCAGCACATAGACCAGAAACAAAGCAACTTTTTAAAAGCCTTGATAGGCGCTCACTTATTTCAGTCAATGATTCTAAGTAGTATAATTTTGGAAAATGATTATTTGTCTTAATTCAAAAGCATTCATTGAGCACCCACTTTGTGCAATGCCATTTAGTTGATACAGGCCTGGATAAATTAGACTATAGATATTATTATAGATTATTCCTTCAAGAAGCTTAAATTTGTTAGTAGGAAAAGAGGTTGGCAGGGCTGCACAAAGAATTTGAAAGTGAACAGTAGTAAGGACCCTAAGAGAGGTCACAGACAGTAGCAGTGGGCACTCAGGGGAGGATAGGATGACTTCTGATAGGAAGGGCTCCAAGGAGGCTTCTGGAATGGGACAGCCTTAAGGCATGGATAGAGTATATACCTGAGAGACATAGGAAGGGCATGGCAAAGGAAGGGAAGGGTGAAAAGGGTGTTAAAGTGGGTTGTGGCACACACAGAGATCAGCCTGCATGGTATATGAGATGTGATCTTTATCAACTAGCTAATGATTCACAGAAGAGTTAAAACACAGTATCTTAGGAGAACTGCTTCCATTTTGTAATTCTTGCTTGTTCTTAACTTGGAAACCTCAGACTTGATTTAGCTGATAATATATTTAACTCTCTGAATTTTTTGTGATGATCCATTTCCACTTGCGTAACTAGAGCTCCTAGGATTACTTTTGGGATCATAAGCCTCATCCTGATCTGATTCCAAATGCAAAGGATTTATTTGAAGTGGATATTGCGTATACGTGGTAGTGTTTTTGAAGTCTTCTCTCTTAGAATCTAGAAAGAGGAGGTTCTGATAATAGCTAATGGCAACGAACCTTTGTCATCATGCTGTGTTGTTTTCTGAGTTCAGTAAGAGTCCATGGCAGTTAGTTTGCTGTATAACTGCTATGTGCCTGATAACAACAATTATGGCAGTAAGTTACCTTTTTTAAAACCTTATTTATATAACCATTACTGTGTGACAATTACTGTTGTAAAATCTTTTCATATATTAATTTTCACATAAATTCTATGAAGCAGACACTATTATTATCCCCATTTCATAACCAAGGAATTCATACACCTAGTTAGTGGTTAAGCTGAAATTTGCACTCAAGCATTCTGTGTTCTTAACTGTGATGCTATGCCGCTTCCCTTATTATTCACCAAATCACATTTAATCTTAAATAGTCCCATCAAGGAAGTGTTATTTTCCTCAATTTGAAGGCTCAGAGAGGTTAAGAAATGTGCTTAAGTTCACACGTCTAGTAAGTGGAGGAGTGAGGGTTGGAACCAGGACTGTGTGATTCCAGTCCTGAGAACCAGTTCCCCACCTTGCCCTGCCTGAGTAGTAGCTTGATCCATCCATGTTCCTAGTCAAACAAGTCTTTCCAGAGACATCAGAAAGTCTCAGGTCCTCGGGCAATTCTGTGGTTTCATAAGTGGCCTGAATATGGTGGAGTAAATTGGGTTAACTTGCCCTAAAGCAGTTCTGTGGTCTTCAAACTTTTTACATAGAGCACCCGCTCCCTGACTTGTGTCTATCTCCTTTTCCATGTAGCAGCCCCCATCCTGGAAGTGGGGCTGTAGCTTCTCCTCCAGCAAGATAGATGTGAGGGCCTTAGTCAGTCATAATGACAGCACTATGTAAAGTTTCACTCGATGTCAAGTGGATCTTTCCTAACTATCTCTCCAATATGAGAAATCAGTTTGAAAGATAAATTGTTTTTGTTCTCATTTATTCTTGTGATCTTACCCCCATGGTTGCAAACCATTAATAGTATCTTTTATTTTTAATCCCACAGGTTTTACAAAATGCACCAGATGAAATCCTAGTAGTAGCGTCTTCCATGTTATGTAATCTTCTTCTTGAATTTTCTCCAAGTAAAGAGGTTAGTGTTGATTTTCTCTTCCTAGATGACTTTTGCCCGGCCTACCTAGAGTTTAGTTAAATAGTTTTCACAGTAGTTGACATTGAAATTTGAGGATTGGTGCTTAAAAACTATTTCTGAATTGTTTGGTTTGGGGGTGCGTATTAAATCATTTAAAAATATGATTATCATTTCCTCTTATCCCTTTTCTGCCTGGCATATGAAGTGTATTTAAAAGATATTACAGCTTGCAGTCAATCTAAACTGCCTACAACTGCAAATGTAGGAAATAATTACACAAGTAATAGACTATTTTCAAATTATATTTACTAAAGAATACATTAAGACCCAATTTTGTAAACCAGGATTACAAGTCATTTCAAGAGGTAAATGCTGGCATTGGAAAATAATCTTTTTAATTTTTAATGGTAATGGTAGTTGTTTAGGGAAGGATTGCATTTGGGGATTTTTTTCCCCTTCTTTTATGCATTTTATAAATTGTTTGAGCATGCATTATTTTTATAATAGGGAAATGGAAATAAACTTTAATAAAGGAGGGGGGAAACCTTACAGATTTAGTTTTATCGTGTTAAAATATCCCTGGCCTGCCCAATCGTGAACTAGGTTTAGACACTATCCTTTATTAAGTACATTTAGTCGTCCCATTTTGATGAATGTCTTTCTACATTGTAACACCTTCAGGCTTTTGACTGTTAGGAAGACATTACTAACAAGGTGGAGATTCAGAGACAACTATTCAGCAAGCAGAAATCTTGGAACGAAAAGGGAGAAACAACTTCCTTCAGCTGTTCTGAAGGAAGGGGAAGGCGAGATAGGATACCAGAGCTTTTGTCTGTTCCTCTGCCCTGGTGGTGGGGGTCTCGGCTGAGGGTGATCTGGCTGCAGTCAGTGCAACACTGTTAATCATCCTGGACAGCTCTTGTGTTGCCTCAGATCCACCTTCAGAATATTTAGGGTCTGGTTAGAAAGTAAGTTAGATGAACTCAGGTATAGGATCGTTAATATGATTGATTTTTTAATATTAAAAATAAGCTGGACTCTTAACTGGAAGGGAAGGAAATGGTATAAGAGCATTTATTGGGCCAGTTGCCAAAATGGGAATATGGACTATAGATTCAAAAAAAGTATTGTTGTAATGTCAGTTTCTCTGAATTTGGTAAGTGTTCTTTGGTTATCTAAGAGAATATCCTTGTTCTTAGGAAATACTTATTGAAGTATTAAGGGTAAAGTGGCATGATGCCTGCATTCTACTTTCAAAGGGTTCAGAAAAAGACAAATAATGTGGATATGGGTGTGTAGAATGAGAGACATAATGATAAATATGGCAATGTTAAAAATTGGTGAATCTGGTATACAGATTGCCAACAAACACATGAAAGGATGCTCAACATCACTAATCATTAGAGAAATGCAGATCAAAACTACAGTGAAGTATCACCTCACACAGGTCAGAATGGCCATCATCAAAAAATCTACAAAGAATAAATGCTGGAGAGGGTGTGGAGAAAAGGAAACCCTCTTGTACTGTTGGTGGGAATGTAAACTGATAGCCACTATGGAGAACAGTATGGAGGTTCCTTAAAAAACTACAAATAGAACTACCATATGACCCAGCAATCCCACTACTGGGCATATACTCTGAGAAGACCAAAATTCAAAAAGAGTCATGTACTACAATGTTCATTGCAGCTCTATTTACAATAGCCAGGACATGGAAGCAACCTAATTGTCCATCGACAGATGAATGGATAAAGAAGATGTGACACGTATATACAATGGAATATTACTCAGCCATAAAAGGAAACGAAACTGAGTTATTTGTAGTGAGGTGGATGGACCTAGAGTCTATTATACAGAGTGAAGTAAGTCAGAAAGAGAAAAACAAATACCATATGCTAGGGCTTCCCTGGTGGCGCAGTGGTTGAGAGTCCGCCTGCCGATGCAGGGGACGCGGGTTCGTGCCCCGGTCCGGGAAGATCCCACATGCCGTGAAGCGGCTGGGCCCGTGAGCCATGGCCGCTGAGCCTGCGCATCCGGAGCCTGTGCTCCGCAACAGGAGAGGCCACAACAGTGAGAGGCCCGCGTACCGCAAAAAATAACCGTATGCTAACACATATATATGGAGTCTGTGCGGGGAAAAAAAAGGTTCTGATGAACCTAGGGGCAGGACAGGAATAAAGACGCAGATGTACAGAATGGACCTGAGGACACAGGGAGGGGGAAGGGTAAGCTGGAACGAAGTGAGAGAGGAGTAACAGTGACATATGTACCCTACCAAATGTAAAATAGATAGCTAGTGGGAAGCAGCTACATGGCCCAGGGAGATCAGCTCAGTACTTTGTGACCACCTAGAGGGGTGGGATAGGGAGGGTGGGAGGGAGATGCAAGAGGGAGGGGATATGGGGATGTATGTATACATATAACTGATACAGTTTGTCATATAGCAGAAACTAACACAACATTGTAAAGCAATTATACTCCAATAAAGATGTTTTAAAAAATTGGTGAATCTGGGAGAAGAATATATGGAAGTTCCTTATATTAGTCTTGCTATTTTATAAGTTTAACTTATTTCAAAATAAAACATTTTTTTAAAAAACTGCACAATTTGTATATAAATCTGCATTGCTTAAGACATTTCTAGAATCCACTTGAAAGATGGCCTTCTAAGCATTTGTTAGTGATGGTACATCAGTCCTCTAAGGCTTGAATTTTTTAGAAACTACCAAAACCTATTTTCAGCCAAGTATCATAAGTTAAGTAGTCAGACTAACACATGCTATTTTAGGTATAAAATGTGATATGACCATAAAAGTACAAGACTGTTTTGCTTGTATGATTGATAGATAGTCCTGAAAGTAGTTCTAAAAGATGAATTCTACAGCATATTGATGAATAAGATAAGCAATTTGTAAGGAAGACAGTTCCATTCTAAACCAGCCATATTGCTTCATAGTCACAACTTGTAAAGGACACCTGAGACACATGCTGCATGAAGCAGGGGTGGCCCTCTCAGAGGAGGGTGAGAAGAATATGGATAGGTAATGGGATCATAAGGGTATGTGTGAAACGTACACATAATTAGGGTATCTCCTGAGCCTTTCAGGACTACAGAGAAAAAGGAAACAACAGGGTTTATTTTGGTTTTTGGATTTGTGAGAGAGTCATCGTTCTTGACCTTCTCAAGGTGATTTTTTTTTTAAGATTTTTTTCCATCATTCTTATTCTTTTTGTTTGTTTGTTTTTTCATCTTTATTGGAGTATAATTGCTTTACAATGGTGTGTTAGTTTCTGCTTTATAACAAAGTGAATCAGTTATACATATACATATGTCCCCATATCTCTTCCCTCTTGCGTCTCCCTCCCTCCCACCCTCCCTATCCCACCCCTCTAGGTGGACACAAAGCACCGAGCTGATCTCCCTGTGCTATGCGGCTGCTTCCCACTAGCTATCTATTTTACGTCATACAGAGTGAAGTAAGTCAGAAAGAGAAAGACAGATACTGCATGCTAACACATATATATGGAATCTAAGAAAAAGAAAAATGTCATGAAGAACCTAGGGGTAAGATGGGAATCAAGGTGATCTTTATGGCTGCCTCACTGCCTGCTTTGTGAAGGTTGCTTGGAATTGGGTAAGAGTAGGAAAGAAATAGGAATCAGAGTGCCAGGGTATATATACACTTAGTTAACAAACCTGACTTTAAAACTGTTTTTTCTCCTTTCCAATCACAGCCAATTTTAGAATCGGGAGCTGTAGAGCTACTTTGTGGATTAACCCAAAGTGAAAATCCTGCTTTACGAGTGAATGGAATTTGGGCTTTAATGGTATGTTTCACAAAGAGAAGGGAGCAGTTATCAAAGTTAAAACTAAAGAATGTGTTTTTGAAATGTCTGGAATTTTCTTTTTTAAAAATCTTGCTCTTTTGGCCCAGTTTTCTAAAGACTTAGGACCTAGAAGACTTCATTCACCTTTCAGATTCAAATGTAAGCAAGTTGCTTGGCCACTGTGTTCCTCGGTTCTCCTGTTTGTTAAGAAAAGCAGACAGGTGTTGAAACTTGACATCTAATTTTGGGGAAAAAAAGGTTTTCCTCCTCATGAACGTATTGATATCTGTATAGCGCTGCCTACTTTACAAAGTACTTTCGTGTCTCCTTTATAACGTCTTTGTGAAATAAGCTAGAGAGTACACATATTTTACAGGTGGGTAAGCTAAGCACAGAGCCATTAAATAACTTCCCCAAGGTAACAGAATTGGGGTATACATGCTCAAGGATTTCTTAACAGTTTCTAGTAAATAATTTATAATAATCTGAATTCTAAAACTATATAACTATGAAGTCAGAGAACCATTTTTCCTTACAATTTTTTTAAATAAAATTTATTGAAATTGAAAATAGAGTAATTCTCCATGAAGTTTTTAAACATAATTAGAGTAGTTATAATTCAATACTGTGTGCCAGACACTAAACTAGGTGTTTCATATTTGCTATCTCTAATTTTTATTTTACATTATATTGGTATATATCCACCTTACAATTGGGAAACTGGAACGTAGAAGGTAAATGAATCATCTAAGGCCTCACAGCTAATAAATGATGGAAATGGGTTCTGAACCTGTCCCAAGCCCATATTCATCTCCCTGTACTGTGCTATATCTGCTGTCTTTTCACACAAACTTTGGGTGGAAATAATCATCTTCCAAGAAAGCACTGAATGTAGTAGATTCAGTTATTTTTCTCCTTAACTTACCAGCTTTTGGCACTTCTCTTTCTTGAAACTCTTTCCCAGGACTTAATTTTTTTTTTTTTCACCTCCCTTTGTACTTAGCCTCCTTTTCAACCTCTTTCTCAGAGAACATTCCCCCGAGTTTCAGTTCCCAGTTTCTACTTCCCTTTACACTACAGTTTCAGGGACTTCATCTATTCTCATGGGTTCAACTCCCCCTAATAGAAGAAGTTGCTTTGGAGTATACGTATCCAGATGGAACTGTACCCTATTCACCAGGTCTGTCACTTAAATGGCTAATGGGACTTCATTTCAGGGCTCCCTGACAAGCACAGTTTTAATGTTGAAAATTGAATTTATCCCACTCCTCAAATTCATATTAACTATCTTATTGTCATCAGTTTCCATATTATCAGTTATTATGTTCTCTGTCCACAAAATATAAAAACCTTGGAATTCTCTTTGGCCTGGGTATCTTGACACCCAACTCAGTACTCTTTTTGCTCTGCCATGTTGCCTTGTGTTATTAGGTAACTTGATCTTTCATATGTCTTAGATCCTTAATTTTAAGAAGTTCCTGGAGGGCAATAACCACATATTATAATACGTTTCTAGTTTACAAGAGATTTTTTTATACCAAAAGTTGATGTATGAATTATTTGGAATCAGCCATGTTTTTTTTTTCTTTCAGACCTATTATAGCTTTAGGTTAAGGTGGGATAATCCATAATGTGTCCAAAAAGGAGAAAAAGGAGCAAAACAGCTCCTGCCCATCTGGGGCTGCTAGTAGGTTGGATACACCTCCTACCCCCGAGAGCTTCCTGCATGATGTGGTCCAGTGGATCAGCACCTAGCATAGAACTGTGAACACAGTAGGTGTTTTCTGCCAGTAAAGTTAACAAAACCCACTACTGGGCTTCCCTGGTGGCGCAGTGGTTGAGAGTCCGCCTGCCGATGCAGGGGACGCGGGTTCGTGCCCTGGTCCGGGAAGATCCCACATGCCACGGAGCGGCTGGGCCCGTGAGCCATGGCCGCTGAGCCTGCGCATCCGGAGCCTGTGCTCCACAACGGGAGAGGCCACAACAGAGAGAGGCCCGCGCACCGCAAAAAAAAAAAAAAAAACACTACTTATTTTCATGCATAATAAGGGAGTACATTTAAGTCTTTCTCAAAGTGCATGGCACAGTATAGTTGTCAGTAGTCATTTTGTTATTAAAGTGCACACAAGCAACATGATGACCAGAAGGATATTCTCAAAAGTAACCAAGCTCATAGATACAGAGAACAGATTGGTGGTTGCCAGAGGTAAGGGTGGGGATGGGAGAAATGGGTGAAGCATTTGGTTTTTTAATTTAAATAAATTGAATTTTAAAAAATATAATAGTAGATTTTGTATTTATTTGAGAAATCTTAAGACATGCAAATGCCGTGTCAGGAAGTGGTCATAGTGCTCATAGAGGAGTATGTATAGGAGTGACAGTTATCTTTCTTCTGACAGACAGAATTATAGGTGATTAACAGGAGTCAGAAAAATGATGTGACTTAACCTTAAGGATTTTCTGCAGATTCTGTTTATACTTTGAAAATTATCAGAATTACTATTAAAATATAATTTAATAATGCAAATATAGGCATGATTCTTGAAACTTCTTTAATCCTTTCAGAATATGGCATTTCAGGCTGAACAAAAAATAAAAGCAGATATTTTACGAAGCTTGAGTACTGAACAGCTATTCCGGTTATTATCAGATTCAGATTTGAATGTGCTGATGAAGACATTGGGCCTTCTTAGAAATCTCCTCTCTACTCGCCCAGTAAGTAAAATCACCCAGGTTTCCAGATTAGCTACCCCTGCATATGCATCACAAAACATTGCCCTGCCTCTCTGCTCCCATCAACATCTGCCCAGAAGTGTGATTCAAATGCTGCCCCTTCCCAGAGAAGCCAGGAGTTGATGTTTAGACCTGTCACCTTCATAGGTGTTCTGGGAGCTGTTTCACCATATGGCCACCTAACCCTCCACTCCTGCACTGCCTCTCCTCTCGTTCCTCCATGCTGGATGGGAGCCTGCCTTGACTTGTTACTTGATTTGCTGGCCAGGATGGGTTTTCTCGTCTGCCTAAATGACTTATCTCTGGGGCTTCAGCTTCTTTCCCTTTAGAGACTCCTTCTCAGTGCTATTGCGTAGATACCTCCCTGCCCCGCCCACATTGACTGGATTGACCTCTGAAGGTGTCAGCATGGAGAGCAGTGGGCATATGTCACAGCAGGAGAGGCTGAGCCTTGGTGTGGGGTCTTTCTTGTTGTTCTCTAATGTTCCCTGAGCAACAGGGTCAGCGGCCTTCAGGCAGATAAAGAAATGTGGGTGGTTCCCTTCTCTGTGCCTCACTTGTTTTCTGAGTCTTCTCTGTACATTGTTTAACTTTTGGAAGTCTTCTGTTCTTTTCTATGGTCTTTTTCTTTGTTCTCCAAATCATAATTGTGGGTTTCCCATTGTTTTGCAGCACATAGATAAAATAATGAGTACTCATGGAAAGCAAATTATGCAAGCTGTCACCCTTATTTTGGAAGGGGAACATAACATTGAGGTCAAAGAGCAGGTATGTGTTCCTTTTTTTTTTTTTTTTTTTTTTGTAGGAATATCTTCTGAGTGTGAGTGCCAAGAGATATCGTAGTTAGGAGTCTCCTGAAATATTCAAGTCTGCAAAAGACAGGGTGCTGAGATCAGAGGTGCTGTAGAGACAAGAAAGTTCTGAGGGGAGATATCCTTCACCACCCCTTAAACTCTCTTCAAGAATTCCTCCTCTTGGGGCTTCCCTGGTGGCTCAGTGGTTGAGAGTCCGCCTGCCGATGCAGGGGACACGGGTTCGTGCCCCGGTCCGGGAAGATCCCACATGCCGCGGAGCGACTGGGCTGGTGAGCCATGGCCGCTGAGCCTGCGCGTCAGGAGCCTGTGCTCTGCAACGAGAGAGGCCACAGCAGTGAGAGGCCTGCATACCGCAAAAGAAAAAAGAAAAAAAAGAATTCCTCCTCTTGGAATGGAAGAAAACATGACCAGAGTCTATACTTTTACCCTCTGTGTCACGCTCTGTACATACTATTCGTCTCTACAGGGATGGCCACCTCTGACCATCCTAGAGTGAATCCTTTCTCCAGGATTCACTGCTTCTAGCCCTCTATATCACCATGCTCTGAACTCAAATTCCTACAATTCCCTGATGAAATAATCCCTTATGCTGGAGACATCTTTTTTTTTTTTTTTTTTTTTTTTTGTGGTGGGGTACTTGGCCCTCTCTTTGTTGTGGCCCCGGACCAGGGCACAAACCCGTTTCCCCTGCATCGGCAGGCGGACTCTCAACCACTGCGCCACCAGGGAAGCCCTGGAGACATCTTTTATTTCTTTATTCTCATGCTTCCCAGTTCCTTATTTCTATCTCATACCCCTACTTTCTGTTGTGTTTCAATAGGGCAAGTTTAAGGTAGGCATGAAAATACAGAGGCTATGCGTTCATCAGGAGACAGTTTGGGAATTACTTTTCTATAGTTCCTGGGATTTATTATAGGATTTTTAACATAGTATATATTTTGTCATAAAAGGAAAAGTCACCTGCAAACTTAAATTTTTAACACAAGATCTGAAGTTATGGTAATATTCAGCTTTCTGACATAAATGTTGGCTACATGGGTGTGTTCATTTCACAGCTCGTTGAGCTGTACACTTATATGTATGGAAGAAACTTGCCCAAGGTCATCATGGAGAGTTGGACCCAAAGTCTAACTGCAGGGCCCACGCTCCTTATCCTCTGTGTTCCTGAGTTAGGGTAGTTCATCAGGCTTCAGAAGAACAGTCCAGGAAGCAAGAGTGGTAGGACTTGGGAGCCGTGTTGGAATTTGTGAGCAAAAAAGGTGATAGATTTGACAAAGTGCTTTTAAGATGGATGTTTTAGGTGATTTCTACTGAAATTCAGTAATAAACAACTATGTTTTTTGCTTAACAAAAATTTAACACAGAAAAACTATGATCTTGTAGGCATCACTGAAATTAGGGTGAATGAGATTTGTTTCTGGAACACAACAATAAAGAAGAGGCAGTGTTCAAAATAAACTGTTCTACCTGGAGAGCATAGAAATTTGTTTACAAAGACAGCTCACCTAGATAGAATTCCACGAACTTGAAAAGCGAAGCAAGGTAGAAAGGTGAGGCAAGATTTGGATGAAGGCAAAAGAAAAGGCCAACAACAATGGGGTGTTTTGGCAGGAAACAATGATACCCTCTCACAGATTTGGGTGATGGTCCAGAAGTAGGTGACTCTGGGGAGGCTTAAACTGTCTGGTTTTTAGCTAGAAGTTTAATTCTTCTCAAAAGTATCAAAAGATACATTCTTTTCTTCCGTTTTTATTGAGATATATTGATATACAATAAGATACATGTATTTAAAGCATACAGTGTGATAAGTTGACATATATAAATACCATGAGACAATTACCATGATCAAAATGGCGAGCATATCTATCACTGTCCTTAGATCAGGAACAAGACAAGTATTCCATTGTTACCACTCCTATTCAACATCATACTGAAACTGCTATCGAGTACAGTAAGGCAAGAAAAAGAAATAAAAGGCATACAGATTGTAAAGGAAGAAATAAAACTCTTCCCAGACAACATGAAAGTCTGTGTAGAAAATGTCATGGAGTCAAGCTAAAACTAGTCAGTGAGTTAACCAAGGGCACAAGAAGAATCAATTGTATTTTTATATACTAGCATGAACAAGTAGAAATTAAAATTTTAAAAACACTATCGTTTACAATAGCTCAGAAAAAAATGAAACTATGTATAAGTCTCACAAATTATGTGCAGGATCTGTTTGCTGAAAACTATAAAACACTGATAAAGAAAGCAATCTAAGATCTAAATAGATATATACCATATTAAAATGTCATTATATATTACCCTTTACATATGTTGTTGGATTCAATTTACTGAAATTTGGTGAGGAATGTTTCACATCTATATTCATGATATTGGTGAATAGCTTTCTTGTGATGTCTTTGTCTGGTTTTTGATATTGGAGTAATGCTTGCCTCGGGGAATGAGGTGGAAGTGTTCTCTTCAATTTTCTGCAAGAAAATTTGTGAAGAATTGGTCTTCTTTCTTTCTCAAATTATGGTGGTATGTACCAGTGAAGCCATCTAGACCTGGTGTTTCTTTTGTGGAAAGGTGTTTAGCTACAAATTCAATTTCTTTTATAGAAATAGAACTATTCAGTTTATCTGTTTCTTCTTGAGTGAGCTTTGACATTATGTCTTTCAAGAAATTTGTCCATTTCATCTATGTTTTCAAATTTATTAACATAAAATTGTTCAAAATATTCTCTTATGTTTTTAAAGTCTGTAGTATTCTTTGCAGTGAACTGTCTTTTGTACTTTATATTGGTAATTCCTTTTTTCCTGATTCAGTCTGTCTAGAGGTTTATCAATTTTATTGATCTTCTCCAAGAAGCAGCTTCAGTTTCATTGATTTCCCCCCCCCTTTATTTTTCTATTGTCTATTTCAGGGGTTGGCAAACTTTCTACAAAGGGCAAGACAGGTATTTTAAGTTTTGCAGGCTATACAGTTTCTGTAGCAACTTCTCAACTGTACTTTTTTTTTTTTAACATCTTTATTGGAGTATAATTGCTTTACAATGGTGTTTTAGTTTCTGCTTTATAACAAAGTGAATCAGTTATACATATATCCCCATATCTCTCCCCTCTTGCGTCTCCCTCCCCCCCCCCCCCCCCATCCCCCCCCCCTAGGTGGTCACAAAACACTGAGCTGATCTCCCTGTGCTATGTGGCTGCTTCCCACTAGCTAGCTATTTTACGTTTGGTAGTGTATATATGTCCATGCCACTCTCTCACTTTGTCACAGCTTACCCTTCTCCCTCCCCATATCCTCAAGTCCATTCTCTAGTAGGTCTGTGTCTTTATTCCCGTCTTACCCCTAGGTTCTTCATGACCCTTTTTTTTTTCTTAGATTCCATATGTATGTGTTAGCATATAGTATTTGTTTTTCTCTTTCTGACTTACTTCACTCTATATGACAGACTCTAGGTCCATCCACCTCACTACAAATAACTCAGTTTCAGGTTTTTTTATGGCTGAGTAATATTCCATTTTATATATGTGCCACATCTTCTTTATCCATTCATCTGTGCTCTTCTAACCTGAAAGCAGGTATAGACAATGTGTGTAAGCACGTAGACATGGCTGTCTTCCAGTAAAACTTTATTTACCAAAACAGGCATTGGGTTGGGTTGTATTTGGTCCACAGGCCATAATTTGCCAATCATTACCTCTATATCATTGATTCCAGTTGTTCATATGAGTGTGTGTGTGTGTTGCTTTTATCTCTGCTCCCTAGCTCATGTGTTAAATTGGCTTGGCCCATGAACTAAATCAGTCTCTTTAAGATTTGGTTTCTTGTCTCCTGAGAATATTTACAGAAGGAGTACGTGGGCTTCAAAGCAGAACTCTAGGTCACTCTGCCATGCTGGACAAGCCTGAGGATGCATAGGTGTATTCTAACACTCCAAGAAGGGGAATCACTTGCCTATCTTGCTGGCCAAGGCTATTCTGAGGACTATTTCCTGAAATCCCCCCTTATACCCACTGTCTTAGTAGGTAAGAGAGGGGTAGTTCTTCCCTAGGTGAGTCTAAATTCTCTTCCATGGTTAGAGTCCAAATCTGTTTTTCCCCCTTGCTTTCCCCTCAGTCCTGAAAAATTCAAGGGTGTTGTGCATGTCAAGACTTCTGACAGGCTCACCATGTACCGGATCACTGTGAAATCTGATGTCTTCCTCAGATCATCTCTCTCCCACTTCTGGGGCATATCAAGGTCTCCTCTTCATGATTTAAGTACGAATGAATAGTCCCCCAGTGCCTTGGATCATAAATTGCATTTTCTGTTTCCTGTATCCTAGAGGCAGCCTTTTTTGGTTCAAACCTCAGGACTCACTCCTTAACACTCTAGTTACTGCAGTGCTATAATCTAGGAAAAATAAGATCACACACCCTTTAAGATATCTGAGGGTTTGGGCCATAGTAAGAAAACATTCTCCTCAGTTAGCTATAACCTGCAAGCTTAATTAGCTTAAGTCTAGCAAAGAGAAAGGTTAAAATTGGAGAAAATTATTTGAATCCAGGCACCATCTCCACCTCTCGTCACTTTCTTTGAGTAATTCCTTACTCTGCTCCTGGACTCAGTGTCACTTCCTCCAAGAAGCCTTCCCTGACCCTTGCATTATCACACAAATGCACTTAGTACTTTCTCCGTTCTGTTTTTTTTTTTTTTTTACATCTTTATTAGAGTATAATTGCTTTGCAATGGTGTGTTGGTTTCTGCTTTATAACAAAGTGAATCAGTTATACATATACATATGTTCCCATATCTCTTCCCTATTGCATCTCCCTCCC